ATTTTTTTATTTTTTTATTTTTTATTTTTTTTTGGTTTTGAGAAGAAAAAAAAGTTTGCAAAAATAAATAATTTTACAACTGTACAGCACACAAACCACAACATAATGATTTTTTTTCTCCCCTTATTTTCCCACTGACTAAATATTAATCTCTGCACTGTAAGAGTTGCTGATGTGGGCTGTATAATTTTCTTTTTCAAATGAAATATGTAATTACATTTCTACGGGACTTTCTACAGTTGAGAAAAGAGGTTATAGGGGAATGATGAAGAGTGACTTTTAAAATGAATCATCATCATATTCTTGACCTGAATTCCTTTTGTCATTACAGGCAGATCTTCTGAGGACCTAATGGAACTGACTTTACGAGCAGTACTGTTTTGGGTRGTGGTGCTTCACTGTGGCTCTGCTGAAGGCAGCATCCTCTACCGAGTCCAGGAGGAGCAGCCCCCCAACACTCTTATTGGTAGCCTGGCAGCAGACCAGGGACTGCCGGATTCGGGTCACCTCTACAAGCTGGAGGTGGGCGCCCCTTATCTCCGTGTCGATGGGAAAACGGGGGARATTTTCACCACAGAGATTCCAATCGACAGAGAGACCCTGAGGGACTGTCGGTCCCTGGCTAAGGGCAAACCCTGCTACTTGGAATTTGAAGTTTCAGTTACAGATCTGATACAAAACCAGAGCCCACGACTTATTGAAGGACGGATTGAAGTGCAGGACATCAATGACAACACACCGCAATTTCCCTCTTCTGTGCTCATCATCTCGGTGCCTGAAAACACAATCATGGGGGCATTATTCTCCATACCTCTTGCTACAGACAGGGACTCTGAGAGGAACGGCGTGGCTGACTATGCGCTGACTGCAGGGCCAGATGCAGCAACCCTATTTAATTTACAAGTGGCTGATGACAGGGGAGTGAAACTCCCTCAGCTTATTGTCCTTGGTAATCTAGATCGAGAGTTAAAGGATTCTTATGACCTCACCATCAAGGCAGTGGATGGAGGGAACCCTCAGCGCTACAACAGTGCTTTGCTTCGAGTGGTCGTGACCGACGCAAATGACAACGCCCCCAAATTTGAAAAATCCTCATATGAGGCAGAYGTTTCTGAAAACAGTCCAGTGGGGCACTCTGTTTTACAGGTAAGATTATATTAAAAATGTGTTTGTTCGTTACATAATGTATTTTAAAACAATGGAAAAGTAACAATTTTGGTTTGTGGGGGGATTTTAATTGTGTGTTCATAATTTATAAATGAAAGCCTGTTTACTTATGCTATGATAGTGTCATTCATAAATCTTTCTAAGTTTAGGCTTGAAATTGTGAATCCACTTGACAATATTTTAAAATTTGCGCTTGTTTTGTATTATAACAGCCTTATTTTTATTTATTAATTTTTTATGTTAAAAGTTTATTTT